AAGTGGAAGAATAATTGTTGGTAGGACAAGGGCACGTTCTGGAGAAACTTGTTGCAAAGCTAATCCTTTCTTTTTTAAACATGCACTTTTCAATATTATAAAGATTCTTCGTTTCATTTTTTTCAGCCACCAATTTTTAAAGTTAATTCATAGTTTTATTTTTAAGTTTTACATAAACTATATATGTATATAACTATGTTTTTAAATATAAAAATTATAAGGTTAGAAATGATTAATTAAAACTATTACGTTAATTTTGGTAAAATTATATTATATATTTTTTTATTTTTAATTTTACATGCATACTTATTTTTTGCAAGTAAATTTTATGTTATTTCTAAATTTTTTTTTCCAAATGTGACCAAGTAGGAATTTACATAAAATTCAAAACTTATTACAAATATTTTCTGTCTAATAATCATAATTTGACTACGTTTTATGAAGAATCAAAAGGGTATGATCGTATTGGACTATAAAATGGTCGTATATAAATTATAAGCAATCCTTTCTTTTATAATATATGATTAGTACCACACAAAAATGTATATTGATATACATGTAAGATACATGTAGCTTGCAATAATTGAGGGTCGAAGCTTGTGGACAGCCATAATTGGATGGTCGATCGTGAATATATAATTTTATATACTACATTAATTTCGTATTTATCACTACTATATAATAATTCAATATTATAATATATATATATATACACACACACACACGCGCGCGCATTAGAAAGTAAATATTTTCAGGAAATATTGAGAAACAAATAATATGTGAGTTTTATTTCGTGTTTGTCCCTCGGACATTGACAGTACTCGCTGTACAGCAAACAGGATGAGTCCCCGCAGCCCAAACCCAGTGGGTATTTGCCACGTGTTGCTTGTGGGCCCAGATCCTTAATTTCAACGGTAGCCAGCGTTACTTGAATATATATATATTATTTTTTGTCGTGGTACAAAATATTTGAATCAATCAATAAAAGACGATACTTGGCTCCTCAATAATTTCAAATTCAAGAATCTAGATTTTGGGTGACGTACACCAGTTAATATCTATGTCACATCACGTAGAAACTGAAATTTTTTTAGTTAAAATATTTGTTAATATAATTATAATGTATTAATTCTTTGATTACATTAGAAAATTAGTACTTGAAAGGCGACTGGATTCGTAAAGTAATTCTCTAACATAAACTAAATTATTCCTACCCAAATTTTAAAATACATGACTCCGGCAAAAATTCATTCGTTCTTGCCCAAAAATAAAAAGCTGAACTAGAAGGCTTCTCCCCATTAATCCATTTGCAAACAAGCCCCAAGCAAAAGCCCCTTAAATGGGCTTTTCCCCAACACGCTATACACTTACACGTCCTCTTTCAACGGGTAAAAGGGCTTTTCTCTCTTTGGGCTGAGAACATATTAAATCCATGTATGGGTAATATGTCATTTCAACATGATGTTAATAAATGAAGACAGAAGATTGTTAATGGGGGGAAGTACGGTTAGTGCAGAAAGGTGATGGGTGCGTATGGAATATTGGGTAAAGTTTATTTTGTCAAGGTGATGATGGTATAAATGTAGTCTGGTTTGCAGATTAGATCAGATCAGATCAGATCAGATTAGATTAGATAGATCATAGAAACTGGTGCATAGGATCCCAGAAAATTGTGGACCCCAGATTTCTATATATCTTTGATCATCATATAATAAATCTTTTCCCTCCCCCCACAACTCAGATACTTATACCAGAGAATTTCACCTCTTTTTCGGGAGTTGCAATCGAGTTTTTTTTTTTTTTAATCATAAATGGAAAAATGTAAATTAATTGGTATTTAACTGAGACTTAGTAGAGAAGCAAAGGTGGTAAAAGTTAAAAAAAAAAAAAAAAAAAGCAACTGTAAAAAAGGAAAGGAGACAGGATGCAGGCAGGTAATTATT